TGTGTCTGCTTCATGCCACAACTCTGGCACGCGCTGCCCCCGGGGCCAGCGGCGCGCGCCCCCCTCGCGCGTTTTGAAGGGGCGACGACGACGACGACGACGACGACGACGACGACGACGACGACGACGACAGCCGCGGCGACTACGACGACGGCGGCAGCGGCGGCGGCGGCGGCACTGGCGACGGCCGCGGCGGCGACGACGACGGCGGCGGCGGCGGCGGCACGGGCGACGGGGCCTCCGTCGGAGGTGCGTGCTGCGGTGCCCACTCGATGGCCTCGGGCTCTCCCAAGCGCGGCAGCGGCCCGAGCGATGAGGCCCCCCAGCACGCAGAGGAGCGAAGCACGCAAAGGCCACTTTTTGGAAGCAGGGCGCCCTCGGAGGGCCTTTGCGCGGAGTGCTTGGCTCGGCGCTTGGCCCCGTGCCCCCGCTCGCGGGCGGCGGGCCAGGCACTGCAAGTGCCACTGGGAGGAGGAGGAGGAGGAGGAGGAGGAGGAGGAGGAGGAGGAGGAGGAGGATCGAATAAGAAGCACGGTGTAAAACATACGCCTGCGGAGGTCCGCGCGAATCTCTTGTACCGGCGCTGGTCCAGCCCCCCTCGCAGGCGACGGGCCAGACACTGCAAATGCCATTGGGAGGAGGAGGATCGGAGAAGGACCCTGCCGAGCAACTTGCGGTTTCGCTCCCCGGGGCCTGTCGCCGATCCGTCGGCGATGTATCGCCGATTCCAGGTCAATGCCCCCTCCCTGAGCCAGTCCCCCCCAAACGTTGTCCCTCACTTGTGCGTGCAGCAGCCTGAGCAATTTGCACAGAGGTCGAGGGTGAGTGCTGCACTGTCTGGCGCAAGCGCGTGCGCTATGCCAGCAATCGACGACGGGAACACGGCGTGCATAAACAGAAGTTTCCACCCTTGGAAGTTCACCGTTTCGCCTTTTTCTTTTTCTGGGGGAGAAGGAGGTTCGGGGCCCAGTATCAGGTCGAGCGCCCGACCAGGCGAGTGGAACGGGATCGTGCGCACTGGGAAGGGACGGGTGGGAGGGCTAGGAGGCCACATGCGAACCCTACCCCTACCTCCCACGATTTCTGAGGGGGAGGGTGGGGTTCCCTTCGTTTGGGAGCTCCCGAACGAAGTGAACCCACCCTCCCCCTCAGAAATCGTGGGGGGTAGGGGTAGGGTTCGCATGTGGCCCCACAAGGGGGGCTGGGGTGCCACATGTGAAGCGAGCATGCCCAGCCCTGCTCTGGCCTCCCTCTCTTGTCTCATGCCGCCTCTGGCGCTTGCTGCCTCTTTTGCCCTGTCTCTCGGTCTGCCTGCCTGCCTGCCTGCCTGCCTGCCTGTCTGTCTGTGTGTCGGTTTGTCCCTCTCGCTCTCTCTCTCTCTCTCTCGCTCTCTTTTTTTTTCTCTTTCTCTTTCTCTCTCTCTCTCTCTCTGTCCCCCACTCCGTGCAGCGTGTCCGTCCCCTGGGCAGCCCGCGCGCGGGCTGCGTGCACCCCGCTTTCCTCCGCCCCCTCCTCCCTCCCCCCGCCGCTGCCTCTCTCTGCCGCTGGGCCTCTGCGCTGGGTAAAAGGAAGAAGTGTCCGTCCCTCCCCTCGCCTCCGCGACCCGTCTCCATGCTTGGCATCGCTCGGACGTGTGCATTTTTCCTTCGGCGAGGACCATCGAGGAGCATCCTTGATCATTTGGAGAAAAAAAACCACGCACGACACCGAAAAAAGCGAAGGGAAAGGACGTCCGAGCGATGGCCAGCATATCGTATCATCCTCCAGCTCGCCGTGCACCGGCCGCGCGCTGGCTCGCCAGCCGCCCCGGCCGAGAGCACCCCTGCCTGCGCAGGAGATCGAGCGCCGGCCGCTGCCGACCTCGTGGGCGACCCTGTCGCACGTCACCAGCTGCGAGAACCTCGCCGAGGCCGCTCCTCCCCCTCCGAGCGCGACCTCCTCCTCCTCCTCCTCCTCCCTCCTCCCCTCCTCCTCCTCCTCCTCCTCCTCCTCCTCCTGCCCCTCCTCCTCCTTCTCCTCCTCCTCCTCGTCCTCCTCCTGCCCCTCCTCCTCCTCCTGCCCCTCCTCCTGCCCCTTCTCCTGAGGCCGCCAGGACTCAGAGCAGAAATAATTGAATCAGAAACAGCTGCACAAGCGTTTTGCATGTTTTTCTTCACCGGGCGTGTTTGCATTGTTTCGGGCGCCTGAGACGTTCACGGACCGAACCGGATCGGGACACGCAGCACAATGACAGAGTCACCAGTGTTCCTGTCGATTTTTTCTCAACCATGTTGGGGTACTGGGTCCTCGTTTTTCGCAGGCGATGTTTCTCCCCCTCCCCCTGACTCTTCGACGAGGAATGAAGCCGCTCAGAAATCTAGGCCTCCTAGATGGTGTCGGAGTAGATGGGGTCGGAGGATCGTGCCGCAACGCCGATCCATTGGCGATGCATCACCGATGCGGCTCGATGTGGGGCCCACTTTCCTCCTCGCCGACGTCGCCGATGCATCGCCGACGTTGCCGATGCATCGCCGATGCATCGCCGATGCATCGCCAATGCAGCGAGATCCTCCGACCCCATCTACTCGGACCCCTTCTAGGAGGCCTCTAGAAAAGGAGGAGAACATCCCTAGGGGGCTACTCGAACGCGCCCCTATCGAGGGTGGACGCCCGCCCATCGTATATCCCAGGGTTGGGCCCCAAAGTTTTGGTCCATTCGGCAGCCTTCCAAAGCCTGGGGCAGGGTCGACAGATCCCCTGTTGGTTTTGAAGGCACAGCGCCCCGCGTCCTCCCCGCTGACTCCTCCCCTCTTGTCACTCCTCCAACCTCTGTCTCTGCCATTTGCACGCCCTCATCGCCATCGTCATCACCACCACCATCACCATCATCCTCATCATCATCAATATCAGTATCAGTATCATCATCAGCAGCAGCAGCATCATCATCATCCTCACTATCATCATCATCATCATCATCATCATCATCATCATCAACATCAACAGCAGTAGCAACACCACTATCATCATCACCACCACAATCATCATCACCAGTACCATCGCTATCACCATCACAATTATCACCATCATCATCATCAGCAGCATCATCATCACCATCACCAATACCATCACCATCACCACTACCACTACCATTTCCAGTACCATCACCAGCACCATCACGATCACCATCACCAGCACCACCACCATCATCACCACCATCATCATCATCATCATCATCATCATCATCTGCATCATCACAATCATGATCACCACCATCATCATCGTCATCATCATCATCATCATCATCGCCGTCGCCGTCGCCATCGTGGTCGTCGTCGTTGTAGTCGGCGTCGTCGTCACCGCCACCAACATTACCATCGCCATCACCATCACCACCATCACCATCGCCATCACCATCACCATCACCATCACCATCATCGTCGCCATCACCATCACCATCATCACCACCACCTTCACCTTCAAACTTCACCATCACCATCACCATCACCATCACCATCACCATCACCATCACCATCACTGTTACGATCACCATCGTCATCAACACTAATTTTGGCACACCCCTCACAATGTTCGCGGCCCTACAGGAAGCTCCACCGATCGCCCCAGTGGCAGCGCCCGCATGAGTCGCCCCGCCCATTTTGCCACACCCCTCACGCTGTCGTGGCCCCATGGGGAGCTCCACCGTTGGCCCTAGTGGCAGCGCCCGCGTAAGTCTCCCCGTACTTTCTGGCACACCGCTCACACGTTTCGTGGCCCCATGGGGAGCTCCACCGAAGGCCCCAGTGGCAGCGCCCGCATGCATCCCCCCGCGCATTGTGGCGCACCCTCGCACGTTCCGTGGCCCCACAAGGAGCTCGACCGAAGGTTTCAGTGGCAGCGCCCGCATGCGTCCCCCCGCCTACTTTTGCCACACCCATCGCACGATCTTTGGCCTCACATGGAGCTCCACCGCAGGCCCCAGTGGCAGCGGCCGCTTACGTCCCCCCGCCTATTTTGGCACACCCATAAAGGGGGCTTCACCGAAGGCCCCTGTGGCAGCGCCCGCATGAATCCTCCCGCCCACGTTGGCACGCCCCTCACACGATACCTTGCCCCATAGGCCCCAGTGACATCACCCGCATGCGTCCCCCTGCCCTTCTTAACATCCCTCACACGATCCGTGGCCCAATGGCCAATGGGGAGCTCCACCGAAGGCATCAGTGGCAGCGCCCGCACGCGTCGCCCCGCCTTTTTCGGCACACCCCTGATGCGATTCGTGCCCCAGTTGCAGTGCCTGGATGCGCCCCCACCCGCGCATTTTGACCCCATAGCGAGCTCCACGTTATCGTCCCACCTGCCTCGCGGTACTAACACTTGCATATGTTTGGCTCCTTCGCCTAACTGATTCTACGATGTTGAACTTGCTTGTGACGTCGGATCTCATTGGAAGAAGGAGGAATGCGGTACACGACGAAGCCGGCGGCGGTGGCGGCGGCGATTGCGGCGGCGGCGGCGGTGCACCGCAGGTCTCGCTGACCTCGGCTCTCCTCGAGGGCGGCTGGGCAGTGATACCCGAGTGGTATGCGGCCCTGGACAGGATCTACGAGGTCACGGACATGGTGGGGGCGCACCGGGCTTCCACCTCCTCTCGTTGCGATTGGAGGGTTTCTCCGAAGGGTTTAGGCGACCCGTCGTCGTCCTCCTCCTCCATCTGCTCCTCCTCCTCCTCCTCCTCCTCCTCCTCCTCCTCCTCCTCCTCCTCCTCGGGTCGCCCACGGCCCAGGGGGAAACCGCGCAGCTGCGATCAGATCACGACACCACGGACAGGAGGGACGCGTTTTGGACTATCTGCGGCTTCCTGGGGAGGCTAGCTGGACGACCGGGACCGTCGGAAGCGGCTCGGGATGACAAGCTGGTCCTTGGAGAGGGGTCCAGCACTTTGTGGGTCTAGGTTTAAGTCGGGCGTGCCCCTCCACAGTCGGGGGACGATTGTTCTACTATGTTTGATCATTTTTGGGTATTGTTTGACTATTTTTATTTTGTTGTCCAAGATCAGGTTGTAGGGGGACATGCCCGACCAAAGTCTAGAACTTTGTGGGTGTAGGTTGTGCAAAAGTACAACGTCGGAGATCAGGGGCGGCGCTGGAGGCGCCGCCAGGAGGGTCATGCGTCGATCCAAGACATCTGCGAGGACCTCCGAATGTTTATGCTCATGCAGTTTTTGTCCACCTATGGGAAGGGCGCTCTCTCCAGTTGTTCCTCCCGTGGCGTGGTTGGACCCCATGCCCCGCGGAGATCCCTTCGGGCAACGGGAACCACGCGGATGTAGTCTGGCGCGCGAGGGACCTGCGTGAATTGGCGTTGGAGTTTCTGACAGCGAGATTCGAGCCAATGTTGAAGGGGTCATGCATCCATCGCCATAAAAAGGTCCACATCCACCCCTACCCGAGTCCCCGGGGCACGAACCCGCGATTGGAGCGGGTGGGACGCGCTCCGCTCCTGACGCCAGAACGCCGCGACGAGAAGAGGCGAGAGAGGTGCCAGGGAGCGGACGGTTCGTCGCCACAGCAGACTCTGGCACGACAGGCTGGTTTTAAGTCGGACATGTCCCTCCACAGGAGGAACATTCAAGAATAGTCGACAAATAGTCAGGGGACAATTGCTCGTTCTCGTTTGATTTTTGTTGGTAATGCTTTGGCTTCGTTTTATCGCTGAGGCCTTACGGTACGGCCGGAGCCGCCGACCTTGGAGGACGACCGTCATGGGGGAAGAGGACGACCCTGATGGAGGAGGTCGGAATGAGACGCTCTCAAGAGTTTTCGGGGGGTGTCCACAGAAGTCTACAGAAACCTTGTCAGACTAGGCCTCAAGTTGCAGGAGGTGCGGTGGCCATACTCGCCGCCGCCGCCACCGGCGCGGTAAATACGACGAGCAGGAAGAAGACGGAGGACAGTAGTAGTAGTAGTAGTAGTAGTAGTCGTAGTAGTAGTAGTAGTAGTAGTAGTAGTAGTAGTAGTAGTAGTAGTAGTAGTAGTAGTAGTAGTAGCAGGTAGTAATAGTAGTAGTAGTAGTAGTAGTAGTAGTAGTAGTAGTAGAAGTAGTAGTAGTAGTAGTAGTAGTAGTAGTAGTAGTAGTAGTAGTGGTAGTAGTAGTAGTAGTAGTAGTAGTAGTAGTAGTAGTAGTAGTAGTATTAGTAGTAGTAGTAATAATAGTAGTAGTAGTAGTAGTAGTAAATAGTAGTAGTAGTAGTAGTAGTAGTAGTAGTAGTAGTAGTAGTAGTAGTAGTAGTAGTAGTAGTAGTAGTAGTAGTAGTAGTAGTAGTAGTAGTAGTAGTAATATAGTAGTAGGAGTCGGAGTAGGAGTAGTAAGTAAGTAAGGAAAGTGTATAGTAGCAGTCGTAAGTATAGCAGTAGTAGTAGTAGTAGTAGTAGTGAGTAGTAAGTAGTAAGTAGTAAGTAGTAAGTAATAGTAGTAGTAAGTAGTAAGTAGTAGTAGTAGTAGTAGTAGTAGTAGTAGTAGTAGTAGTAGTAGTAGTAGTAGTAGTAGTAGTAGTAGTAGTGGTAGTGGTAGTGGTAGTCGTGGTAGTGTTAGTAGTGGTAGTAATGGTAGTAGTGGTAGTAGTGGTAGTAGTGGTAGTAGTGGTAGTAGTGGTAGTAGTGGTAGTAGTGGTAGTGGTAGTGGTAGTAGTAGTAGTAGTAGTAGTAGTAGTAGTAGTAGTAGTAGTAGTAGTAGTAGTAGTGGTATCAGTAGTAGTAGTCTAGTAGTAGTAGTGGTGGTGGTAGTAGTAGTAGTACTAGTAGTAGTAGTAGTAGTAGTCGTAGTCGTAGTCGTAGTAGTAGTAGTAGTAGTAGTAGTAGTAGTAGTAGTAGTAGTAGTAGTAGTAGTAGTAGTAGTAGTAGTAGTAGTAGTAGTAGTAGTAGAAGTATAGTAGTAGTAGTAGTAGTAGTAGTAGTAGTAGTAGTAGTCGTAGTCGTAGTCGTAGTCGTAAAGTAGTATAGTAAGTAGTAAGTAGTAGTAAGTAAAAATAGTATAGTAGTAAGTAGTTAAGTTAGTGATATCAAGTAGTAGGTAGAGAAAGTAGTAGTAGTAGTAGTAGTCGTAGTAGTAGTAGTAGTAGTAGTAGTAGTAGTAGTAGTAGTAGTAGTAGTAGTAGTACGACCAGTAGCAGTTCCAGTAGTGGTCGTAGTAGCGCTGTCGGGGTCTTCTGGGGGTCAGTTTGGGGGCATATTGGCAGCATCGTGGGGGCCTCGTGGGAGCCTCTTAGGAGCCTTTTGGAGTTTCCTGGGGGCCTCTTGGGGGCCTCTTGGGGGCCTCTTGGGGGCGTATTTGGGCCTCTTGGGGGCGTCTTGGGACCGAGGGCTCGAAATGTTCGTTGGGGTCCCCCGTCGAGGCGCTTTCTTGGAGCCGTTTTGGTGGCCTCTTCGGCCATCCTCGCGGCCTCTTGGGCTGTCTTGGGGCCCTCTTGGGTAGTTTTGGGGCTCTCTTGGAGGCCTCTTGTGCTGCCTCCCAGCGTCGGGAAGCCGAAAAGGCGAGAACACCAAAATCCTTCAAAAACTATACGAAAATCAATGAATTTGATCTTTTCGGGCTCTTTGGGAATCGTCTTGGAGGCTCCTGGGGCGACTTGGAGGCCTCTTGGGCCGTGTGGAGGCTACATTTGACGTCTTGAACCGATCGTTCGGCGATTCCGGGCCCTCTTGGACCATGTTGAGGGGCTCTTGGGCCACTCCTGGCTCGTCTGGAGGCTTGCGTTGGTCCCGGGACCCCCCGAGGGGTTGGTATTCAGACCGGGACCCCCCCCCCCCCCTCCCCCCTCCCCCCCCCTCCACCCCCCCCAGGACGCCCCCCCCCGTCGGGGAAGGAATCAAAGGGAAGGGGCTTCCCTTCGACTCAATTACGACGTTGCTCAATTTGAGGTAGGAGACGGCGACGGTTTGAGGTTGGAGACAGCGACGGCCGTAATAGGCGACGGCGACGACAACGGGGAGGGGAGCAGCGATGGGGGACCACAACCGTGGCGAACAGCGGGAGCAGCGAGGGAGGCAACAACCACGACGAACAGCCCATTCCACACGCCGAAAGTTTGATTTGTTTGATAATGCTTTGACTTCGTTTTATTTTTCTTCCAAGATCCGCCTGTGGGGTGCCTCTTGGGTGCCTCCTGGAGACCTCGTGGGGGCTTCTTGGGGCGGAAGGCTCGGATTCTTAGGGGGGATGCTGCGGTCGGTGTTTCGGGGTGATGCGCCGGTTGCTGCCCGATTTGGGGCCCCAGAAGGGGCCCGAGAGCCCTCGAGCGAGTGTTCCCCGCCGTCGCGTTTGCGAGCAGCGGCGTCGTGAGGATGCAGGCCCGCGCGCGTGGCATCCCAGCAGTGGCACCCGGCAGTGGTCTCGGGTATCCACAGCCAGCAGCTCTTGGCTTGGCATCGCTTCGACGTGTGCCTTCTATTCTCGGCGAGCACCAGCGAGCGGCACCCTGGAGCATTTGGCGGAGAAGTGCACCCGCAAAGCCGATTCGTGCACGGGCTGGACGTTCCATCGATGGCAAGTGGTGCATACATTGTGACTTTGCGCGGGCTGCTGGGTGAAGGTCCTGGTCGGGGGGGGCCCAGGGACGCGCTGCGTTGGAGCGCTCCTGCTCCCAGCTTGGGACGCCGCAGCCCCAGGTGCAGTCTCGCTCCCTCGATGCCACAAGGAAGAAATCGTGCGTGGCACCTGGTCCAGTTTCGCAGGCACGCGGGCGCCGACCCGGAGACCCGCTGCCGCAAGGGAACAGGGAAGAGGACCAGTTTGGGAAGCCGCCAGCCCCCCCCAGGATGGGGGAGGGGGGTACAGCCACGAAGCCGAAATATGGAATAGTTCTGATCCGGAAGGGGCTCTTTGTTTCCTTACGTCCTTCCGTGGTTGTTCCTCTGGCCCTTCTCGTGCACCCAGTCTCTTTTGAAGCCACAGAGGGGCTTCGTTCCTTCTTCAGCGTTCCTGATTTCAGCAGCCCGACTGTACCACTTCCCCCCCCTGCAGGAAGCTGGAGCCAGAAGGGGTCAATAGCCTCGACGTGGTCGGAAGGGGGGGCAGGCTCTTGATTCGTAGGCAGCAGTGCGAAGACAAAACGCATGGGGCCCAATACACATAAGCCGCGTCAAAGCGTGTGGAGGTTGATTATGTAATGTGTAATGCAGTTGCTTGGGCCGCAGCTACCCGTATGATGGCTGACCTCTCGTCGTGTCAGCGTCTCTGTTTCTGCTTATCGGTCGTCACATATTCGCGGGCAAGCGGGCAACATCAACGTAGAAGGGATACTGAATGCGCCCTTCCAGTTGTCGAGCTCCTTGTGCGACCGGGCCACATAGCTCAGCCGCGTGACCAGGCTGTGCGTGTTGGCAACCACACAGTGCCCACCAGTATGATCTCCCCCCCAATCCCCCATCTGCTCTCCTCGCTGACCCCCGCGAAGTTGGAGGGGGAGCGGGGTGGAGGAGGAGGACCGTGCTAGTCAGGGCAAGGGGAAGCATCGCGGCAGACATGTGCTGGTCGGACCGGGGGCGGCGGGGGGGCCTGCCAGGTGGGCAGACATGCCGTGGAGGAGCCCCTGGTGCCCAAGAGCGGAGCCGCCGCCGGCCAAGGAGCGGCTCGCTCGCGAACTGTTGCAAGCGATGTGCACGAAGTCCCTGCCAGCCGGCTGCCAGAATCTCTCCGCTGGTCCCCCGTCTCGCCAGATGTTCGCCCAGATCTCGAGCCGACGTCCCCACGCATCCTTCGGAGCTCACCAAGCACGGCAGGCAGGGGCAGACGGGCCAGGCCGTGTCGGGGAGACGTGAGAGTAAGTCGGGCGCGTCCACCCTACAGGAGGAGTATCCACAGACAGTCCAGAAACGAAGCTGGGGACGATTGTTCCACCATGTTTGAGCATTCGGGGGCACTCTGGGGGTATTTTGAATCTTTCGTCCAAAACTCGCCTGCAGGGGGACCTGCCCGACCTCAACGTAAGACTCGAGTACGCTGGAACTCCGGCTTGCCAACGCCTTTTGACGAGCGTGTCCTGGAGTCTGACGGCCCAACTTTCGTGGAATGTCTGCAGCGGGGGGTCGCGTCAGATTTCTGATTGGGCCTCGTCATGCTCACGATGGCCCCGTCGAGCCAACCCGAGTCCCCCGAACCCGGGCCGCACGTCTCCCAGGTTGTGGGTCGTCGAGCCGATGTCGGCGTTTGTGTTGTTGAGCGGTAAGTGGGCTCTCACAGCGGCTGTGGCCAGCGGAGGGGCACGGGGGGGGGCAGTCGAGCGCACGGCAGTCCAGCCTGAGGGGCAGGCACGGCATGGCGAGAGGCATGTGCCGAGAGTGGCGTCACGGGATGATGATGGTGATGATGATGATGATGATGATGATGATGATGATGATGATGATGATGATTATGATGATGATGACGGTGATGATGATGGCTCTTTTGGGTTTGTCGAGGGCGTTTGGGTATAGGCCTCCTAGATGGTGTCCGAGAAGATGGGGTGGGAGGATCGCGCTGCATCGCCGATGCATCGGCGATGCATCGGCGATACGGCTCGATGTGGAGTCCGATTTTCTCCACACTGCCGATGCATCGGCGATGTAGCGCCGATGTATCGGCGATGCGGCGCGATCCTCAGACCCCATGTACTGGGACTCATCGAGGAGGCCTCTATTGGGGAGTCTTGTCAAGGCCTTTGACTTATCGCTGGAGCGCCCTCACGACGCAGGTGCGTGCACCCACAATTCCCGAATGTTGCGCCAGCAGGCTAAGAGCTCAAGTCTGCAAGGGAGATATCCTTTCTCACCAGAGGGTTTGTGGTTACACAGTTCGGGGGTCGGCCGCATCTTTCATATGCCGGAAACCCGTCCCTGGGGGCCCCTGGGCACAAGAGCTTGCTTTTCGTTAGATTCCGGCATGTTGATTTTCACGGACAGGGGGGGGCCTGAACCTGAAGCAAGCCGCGCACGACTTGCACATGCGGGAATCACGCAAGTCGAAAGGCATTTGCACGTTACAGAGGAAACCCATGCCAATAATCATTGGTCATAAACATACCCTTACCAGGGGTCGGCCTGGGTGAATAGGGCTGTCCGCTGGATTGTGCGCTTGCCACTGCGCCCGATCAGTCTGCCGCGTGCGCGCTGTTTCAGCATCCGCGCGTCAGGGCGCAACGACACGCTGAACGGCTGGTTGTTCCATTGCAGCGACGTGCCCTGCTTTGCGTCAGGGATGTCTGGGGGCATCGGGCGTGTCCGCGGGGTTTAAAACAAAGTTGGAGTGGTGTTGCCTGTTCCACTTGGGGAGAGGCACCACCACTCCGTTGCGTTTGGAGCTACCCGCAGGAGCGTCGTTGCAGTCTCGCGCTCCCCCGGGGGCCGCTGCGGCCGCGTTCGAGAGCACTGCCCTGGGCCGCGCGCGCGCCCGAGAGCGATTTCGACCAAACGTCACCTCGACTAGGTACGGGTACATGTCCGGGGGCACCGTCAACGCGCGTCGGCGACTGTGCCCCCCGACACGTACCCGGACCTAGCTGGAGTGACGCCGCGCGGGTTTCCCAGGGAACAGCCCCAGGCGACCGCGCCTGGCGTTCGGGGCCCCAGGCTTTAGGGGCGAGCGCGGGATTGCAGCGGCGTCCGCCCAGGACACCCAGGACGCATTTTGCGCGTCGAGCCCCAAGCGCTTGATTATGCGCCTTCGTGGGCGCACCTCCGAACGAGCTACTCTAGCCCGAGAGCGACCAAATGCGTGGTCGGTCACTCTGCCAATTGGGACGCGCGCGCTTTCGGCGCCAGCGGATGCCCGGAGAAGACAGCGTCCTGTAATGTCCCCCATGGGCCGTCGCATTTGCACTTGTGCAACCGCCGTCGGCTGCGGCGCGTCGCCCCCCCGCCCCTTGCCACCCCGCCTGGGTAAGGGTACGGGTGCCGTACCCCGGGTACCTTTTGCGCTCGAGAAAGAAACACCCCGCTTGCCTCCAGAGTGCATTGGTTTTCTTGGGCTTCGATGGTTTCGCGATGGAGAGCGTGAAGTTCCTACACCAAAAGCCAGCGGACGCCCTGGGGTTCCAGGGTTGGGTTTCCTGTGGAAGGTCTCTTATGGTCGAGCTCCTACCGTAGTATTCGTCGGAGGAGGGGCGAGAGGGGGGGGGGCGCACGCCATTCAAATGAGCCTGTCCAAACAAGAAAAATGAAACAGGTTCTAAGGGGGACACCACACACTTGCACTGCCCCCAGCCGCACACCCTTCGGGCCCTCGACCCGGGTGCCTCTCCGCGGAGAGCCTTTCTCGAGTTCCCCCTGCCCCCCTCCCCGGAAGTTCCCGGGTAGTCATCTAGAGTCGGGCCTGTCCGTCCACAGGAGGAATATTCAAAAATAGTCTAACAAATTGGCCAGGGGACGATTTCTCTACCGTTTTTGATCATTGAGCATTGTTTGATATTTTGGCCGGTCCAAACTCCGACTGTAGGGGGACATGCCCGACGTAATATGTAGTGATATCAAGACTGGCCACCACGTGGCTTCAATGGACAGGCCGCGAGGACCCGAAGACGCCCCAAGGAGGCGGGTCCAAGTGGAGCCCAGGAGTGGCCGAAGATGCAAACATCGTCTTCTATTCCTTGAAGGATACGCTCGAGGCCTCCTGTATGGGGTCCGAATGGATGGAGTCGGAGGATTGCGCCGCATCGCCGATGCGTCGACGATGCGGCTCGATGTAGAGCCTGTGTTTCCCTTCGCCGTCGTCGCCGATGCATCGCCGTCGGCGATGCATTGGCGATGCGGCGCGATCCTCCGACCCCATTTACTCGGACCCCATCCAGGAGGCCTCTATGTGCACAGCATTCACGACGGCACCAGAAGCTCCAAGGAGAGCCCCAGAACGGCCCAAGAAGTTAGGGCGCCGAGACGGCCCAGGAGGCCCTTAAGACGGCCGAAGAGGCACCCAACCCAGGACCGCCCAAGATTGTCTTCAGAGAGCCCAAACAGAGGCCCCGGATGGAGAATTCGAGCCCACATTTCAAGGCCTCTTCCCCAAGGCGATCCCGAAGATCGCCAGCAGGCCCTCCAAGGACCCCCCTGAAAGGATCGAAGAGGGCCCCAAGACGCTGCAAGACGGTTCCAAGAGGACATTCACGAGGGCCCGAAGAGGCAAACACCGCCCAAATTCTTTCTAGGAAAGTGTGCATCTCGAGTGCGTTCGCTGCTTGCATGCGCGCAGCGTCCAAGGCGGCCTCCACCGAAGGCCTCGGTGGCATGATCCGCGTGGCGGCGCAGCTCCTTTTGGGCGCACCCCTCGCACGCCTCGCGGCCCCCGAGGGAGCTCAGCCGAAGGCCTCAGCGGCAGGGTCCACGTGCCAGGCGCCGCCCCCTTCTTGGCGTGCGCTCACACGCTTCGTGGCCCCATGGGAAGCTCCACACCGAAAGCGGTGCCACGACGCGATCTTCACAGTTGCATTCGGTTGGGTCTTTGCCCCGGGTAGTTTTGTTGTTGTTATTGTTGTTGTGATTGTTGTGATTGTTGTTGTTGTTGTTGTTGTTGTTGGTGGTGGTGGTGGTGTTGTTGTTGTTGTTGTTGTTGTTGTTGAACATTATTTCTTCTTAAGAATAATTATTGTTGGGACCCCTGGTGCGCGACCCCCCTCCAAAACCTAGGCCGCAGCTACATTTTCATCATTTTTTCGCGAAAGCTTCAGAAAAGTGGATTAGTACCGGATCCGGTTGTTTTGTTGTACTCCGTTTTCCCTTGCAAAAAACACTATAAAATGAAAATTCTTGTTCTTACTTGATCAAATTGCAAGAATCCCTTGCAAAAAATAAGGTAAAGTGGACATTCGTGCGCGCAAGACGAAATCCTTCCAAAACCTTAGGTTTCGTAACGATTTTAACATAAAAACATCAAAAACCCAATGGTTTTTTAAAGAAAAAATTGTCAAAATGTCCTTCCGCGCGCGCTGTCCGAATCCCACAAAACCAATGGTTTTTCAACATTTATGTTACATGAGCTCGCGCGAGCTACTTTTTCTTGTTCTAACATAATCAAATTTCAATAATCCCTTGCAAAAAATAAGGTAAAGTGGACATTCGCGCGCGCAAGACGAAATCCTTCCAGAACCTTAGGTTTCGTAACGATTTCAACATAAAAACATCAAAAACCCAATGGTTTTTCAAAAAAAATGTCCAAATTTCATCCCGCGCGCGCTGTCCGACTCCCACAAAACCAATGGTTTTTCAACATTTATGTTACATGAGCTCGCGCGAGCTACTTTTTCTTGTTCTAACATAATCAATATTCCCTTGCAAAAAAAAAGTAAAGTGGACATTCGCGCGCGCAAGACCAACAAAAAACACGACGATCTCAGGAACTTGCCCCAAAAATGTGACCAACTCCGCTCTCTCTGTCTCTCTCTCTGTCTGCTCTCTGTCTCTCTCTCTGTCTGTCTGTGTCATGTATTGTATGTCACAATTGCAGGATGCTGGGCACACGCGCGCCCCGAATAAGTGACCAAGTTCTGTGGGTGTGTACCCCACGCCAGTGTAGTAGCCACGGTCGTCCGCACGCCACGAAGTGAAGTGTCCCAACGTCATAGGGCGGGAAGCTGGGTTTGGGTGGTCGCGAAGAGTCGTTTGGATATTTGGTAGAGCTTGAACTGCCCCCCCACGAAGTGGGGGTATTGTCTCGCGTCGCATGAAAACCCTGGCACTGGTGAGAACACTGAGCGTTCGGGTAAAATGATTGTTGTTGTTGTTGTTGTTGTTGTTGTTGTTGTTGTTGTTGTTGTTGTTGTTGTGCGTATTTTGTTTTTTTTGGGGGGGGGGGCGTTTTCGGCCTCCAGGTGCCGCTTTCGGGCATCCGGAAGTGGAAAGCTATTCCAGCGTGGACAAGGACACCAGATGGACCCTGGGAGGGGTCCGGGGAACCGATTTTGAGTCGACTTGGCCTCCTCCATCCTTTCTGACCGACTTTCCTGGTTCCCAGCCAGCTCAGACCTCCCGGCGGCCTTCAAGAAGTCGTGGTGCATTCGCTCGATACAGCTTCTGGAAGCGATCAGGCTGCTATGTTCGGTTGCACGTTCGACCACGCCATCACCGCCCTCGACCCCCCCTCCGCCCCACCACACTTGAGCGACGCATGAAGACAGGGTCGTCTTCGCCGACATTCGTGCACAAGCTGCCCGCGTAAGGTCGCGCGTAGGCGCCCTCGTCTTCAGTGTGGCGTGCCGCACTGGTGGCCCGCGTTTGGCCGCGGCGTAAGGTCGCTGTGCCATCTCGCGCAAGACCCGTGTTTGATCGGAACCCACTTGTCGCCTCCACCTTCTCCTCGGGTAGCATATCATGGGAGCCTGGTCTACCCTCTGAATCCCGCCTTCACTGTCGGCTAGCGACGATGAGCGTCTGGGTGGGGGTAGAAGAGATCGAGCCGATCTGGCGTCGGTTTGCGTCGATTGGCGTCGACTTAGCGTCGACGAGCGTCGACTTAGCGTCGATGAGCGTCGACATAGCGTCGCCGAGCATCGATTCGCAAGAGTCAGCAAGATGGTGTGGGAGACTCATGAGTTGCCACCGAACATTTGGTCTCAGCCATGCTCGTGCCGTGCAACGAGCCCCACGGGAGGTGTTTGGCCGTTTTCGGCCTGCAGGAGCCTTCGCAGGGCCCCTGGACCGTGAAAGAACGGCTCGCGATGAACAGCTGGCCCTGGGGAAAGGGCCCAGACTTCCGGGGACCGCGCATTCGGAAGTTCAGAGCATCGCGTGTCCGGGTTAGGATGCAGTTCCTGGGCTGGTCTATCCGAGGTAGACAACCAACCGGATCCAGTCTGACATGGTTTGCTCCCACTGAATATGGTGTGATCCTGGGCTCAAGCTGGCCTTATCTGGCTTACGGGCCAGACTTTCGGGCCCCCTGATCGGACTCGAGCGCCCGTGCGACGTTCTTGCAGAGACCTCCCATTAGTTGCGTCCCAACACTCGCCACTCGTCCACAGGAAGCCGGTGCGCCAGCGCCAGCCGCGTCTCCAGCCCAAGCCACAGCCGCAGCAGCATCACGCCGCGCCTGGGCGCCCGCTGCACCGTGTCCACCACCGCCGCGTCTCAGGAGGCCTGGGCCGTGCAGACCTCGCTGAATTTTTGGCCTCATTCGAGGGCGGGGGAGGAGGAGGAGGAGGAGGAGGAGGAGGAGGAGGAGGAGGAGGAGGA